AAAAGATGTTTGGGAAAAAAAATTGACTTATTTTTTTTTTATCCCAAATTGAGAAATGGCGACGCCACCATAGATCCCATTTGATATAGTTTTGTTTTTTGTTTTTAAGAATATATTGTGAAAATTACATTTTTGGGGAATTTTTAATTTAAAAGTACGAAAGAGTTGTAGGTACACCTACAAAATTATTTTTTTGGAAGAACGTGTAATTGAAAATGACTTTTAAAAAAAAATTTAAGAATATGCACTAAACATCGACATAGAATCAATATTGTTAAAAAAAAATAAAAAAAATAGACGTGTATTTGGCTATATGCAGAGTATTTGCACAATAATTTTATGTGTGTGTGTGTGTGTTATAAATAATATAGAAATAGTCGAAAAATATCAAATCAATTTTTATCCATACATTTTTAAACTAGTCTTCGTCTTATGCGTTGCACGAGTATTATATTTATTATTATTAGTATGAAATATTTAGAATTTATATTATCCAAAAATTATCAATACTGGCGCATGATGCTGGAACTCTGAAGTTAGAACAATAATTTCATTTTAGCACCAGCACCACTATAAATATTCATATTAATTTATAAATGTTTTCACGGTACATCAATATAATAACATTGTTTCTCACGAACTTCCAATGGTTTACCACCTTACCAATAGTATCCATGCTATGGCATAATTTTCGACTCATCTTGAATGAATATGCAATAAAATTCTTCAATGAAAACTATTTGGAGAAGTTAATTCATGGTAATGTAAGGACAATCACATGTTTCCCCCTATTACGTTTAGTTTGGATCCTTAATTCTTTGCCCCTTTGCGCATGGTTTGTATCATTAAATCTTATTCCTAAAGTTTCATATGATCTAAAATGAATTTGAGGAAATGGTGAACCCGACATCACTTGTTTTTACAAGCATTTATAAGCTACATGGTTAGTGACGTCAAAAAAGGTCGAACATAGTGATTTAAAGTTATTAATAATTTTTTAATTTGTTTTAAAACGTCAATACGAGAGAAAGACACAATCAAATCAAAATTCAAAATATTCAATGAAGGTTATCTTGGCTAAGATCAGAAATTAACACTTGAAATTGGGGAAAAAATTGTGTTTTATCTAGCTTTTGAGAGTTATAATCTATGTGCTATTTGGTTATAATCTATATTATGTTATATTTGTAAGATATTGCAATATATGTTATTTGAATTTTTTGGCATGGGCCGTATAACTATGAATCATTTGAGATATTTACTGTGTAGTTTTTTTAGGTATTTTATATTACGTTGTATGATATTTGATTTGATTTCATATAATTATTTGTTAAAATTAGTGGAGGAGAGAGATAAAGGCCAATGGGTCAGTGAGGAATTTGAGAGATTCATATTTGTAAAAGACTCTGTGCATGGTCACCTCCACTGTAGTATTTCTCCATTTTCACACACTACTTCATCTCATCCAATTCAACTGATAAAGAAAAGAAACTGACTGATTTAACAAATTAAACAAAAAAAATTACACGCAAAAATAAAAAAGAAACAAAAAAAGTTATTATAAAGTTTTTAAAATAAATTGAAATAATTAAAAGCAAAAATAAATATTATTTAACTAAAATTGAAAAAATTACGTTTTAAACGAAAAGAATAAAAAAGAATTTCAAATAAAAAAAATTATAACATGAAAAAAAAACGAAAATTTTAAAACAATTTTCAAAAAAATATAATAAAAACAAAATAAAAGAAAGTTAAGAAAATTAAATAAAGAATATATATATTATTTAATTAAAATTGAAAAATTAAATTTTATTATGAAGAGAAAAGAATTAAAAAAATTTAAATTGAAAAAAAAATTATTTATGATGGTTAAAAAAAAAAAAATCACGGAGTGGAGACTTTGTCTGCGTGATTTTTTTTTATTTTTATTTTTGGGTAATTAGCACAAAACATCCCTACCTTTCGATATTTTTGTGGAAAACGTCCCTACCTTTTATTTTTTGACGGATTACACCCTTACCTTTACCTTTTTTTGCGCAAAACGTCCTTCTGTCAACTCTCCGTTAAAATGCTCCGTTAAATCAAAAAGGTAATTAGCACAAAAGGTCCCTACCTTTCAAAGTTATTGTGCAAAACGTCCATACCTTTTATTTTTTAGCATAATTAGCAGAAAATGTCCCTATCTTTCAATATTATTGTGCAAAACGTCCTTACCTTTCATTTTTAGCATTTTACCCCTACATTTCACCTTTCATTATGCAAAAGGTCCTTTTCATCCATTTTTTCAATAAAATGATAATTTTACCCTCCGATTGAAATAAAACAAAAAGAAAAGAAAAAAAAATTAATTAATTGCAATCATAGTTCTAAATTTTTCAAAACATTACAGATAAATCCTAAATTCTTCACTACCGCCACTTTCACAACCCCACCAATCCACCACCTATAGATCCATATAGCACCACTTTTCGACCACAACACCTATCGGACTCCACCACCACCAGTGTCGCCTCACTCTCCCCAATATCCTCCTCCATAGTATTGGTCACCAATCTGTCCGAAACAACCACATTTACGGTGGTGGAGTCCAGTGGGCATGGTGGCCGAAAGGTGGTATTATGTGGATTTATAGTTGGCAGCTTGATAGGTTGTGAAAATGGTGGTGGTTGAGAATTTATGATTTATCTGTAATATTTTGAAAGATTTAGAACTATGATTGCAATTAATTAATTATTTTTTTCTTTTCTTTTTGTTTTATTTCAATAGGAGGGTAAAATCGTCATTTTATTGAAAAAATGGATGAAAATGACCTTTTGCGCAATGAAAGGTGAAATGTAGGGGTAAAAATGCTAAAAATGAAAGGTAGGGACGTTTTGCACAATAATATTGAAAGGTAGGAACCTTTTCTGCTAATTATGCTAAAAAATAAAAGGTAGAGACGTTTTGCACAATAACTTTAAAAGGTAGGGACCTTTTGTGCTAATTACCTTTTTGATTTAACGGAACATTTTAACGGAGAGTTGATAGAAGGACGTTTTGCACAAAAAAAAGGTAAAGGTAAGGGTGTAATCCGCCAAAAAATGAAAGGTATGGACGTTTTCCACAAAAAACATCGAAAGGTAGGGATGTTTTGTGCTAATTACCCTTTATTTTTATATAAAGCTAATATCTTTTTACATATATAAATAACTATAGTGATAAGTTTTTTCTTCTTTTTTATTACACTTTCAAATAACTTGAAGCAAATTTTTTACTTATAAGTATCTTTTTACATTTTTTAAATATACTTAAAACTTTAAGTTAATATTTTTTTTACTTATAATATAAGTAGTTTTACAATTATAAGGTTTTTTTTTTTTTTTTTTTTTTTTTTTTTTTTTTTTTTTTTAAAAAAAAAAAAAAAAAAAAAATTTTTTTTTTTTTTACGTTTAAATAACTTGAAGCAATTTTTTTCTATAATTTATATAAGAGTGGCTGAGCACGGAGTGAAGATATGAGACTTGATGTGAGGTATGGAAAGTTGCGTGTTGCAGTAAATTTAGATTGCCTCTTTTTTACTATATAATAAAAAATTTATATCAAGCAAAGACAAACGAAAAACTCAACCACTTAAAAAAATGCTACAGTGAGATAAAATGGAACAAAATACTGTTCACTTCAACAGTGTCTCCATATTCTCCTTTTTATATAGTAGGGATTCATAAATATTACTTATTTATTCATCACCCAATTATAACAATATATAAATAAAATCATTTATAAACACTTCCCAAATTCTACAATCAACATATTGAGTGAAGTCCTAATACACTAATTAGCCAACGTGCAATCTACCTGTATGAAGTTATTAGTGAAAAGAAAGAAAAAAAAATTCTTCTCAATAACTCTAAATAGAAATGAAAAAGAAAAAAAAAAATTGTAACTTAGACAATTGAAATATGAAGTTCCAAAAATTTGAACAACTTTCTTTGAAGTAGGAAATTTCCATGGGAAATTTACAATAGATTACATATATTTTTCATGGAAAATATTAATTTTTCATCCAAACTTCTAATTCAGATGTTTGATTGCTATTTTTTTCATAGAAACATTTTCTAACTTTTGAAAATATACTTAATTTTATTTGTTTTTAAGGAAAATATTTTTTTTTGAGTAGATTTTGTTTTCCTCAAAATAAGGAAAATATTTTTTTCTAGATGATATTTTTCATGTTAGTCAAACACTCTCTAAAGAATCGATTTCCATTATTTTGCTTATTGGTCCATCAGTATTCTCAATTTTTTATACCATAAATAGCTCAAAATTAATGCGTTGATAATGACGTGATCTTAATTATTCAATACAGGATATGATTATTTAAATTGTCCGATACATATAAATCACGTTGTTTGATAACACTTTAACGCTTAACGATACTATTTTTGATAGACTGATTATTAGCGTAACATACAAAAATAATTTAGTCTCTGTTTGGTATAGAATTCTTTATATTTAGATCTATAATTTTTCTACTTTTTGACATGCATTCTCCAAACTCATTTTCACCATTTTTTTTTAAAAATAAATCTACACCAAATTTAACCTTGAATAACCAATTGAATACTTCCTAGCCCCTGTTTGAGCTATATTTTTACCTCATTAAAATGAAAAATATGATCGTTATTCATCACATCAAGCTACCATTTTTGAATTTCTATCTCTGGTGTGGGGACCATAACGGCTCTATTTCTCATTTTCATTCTCATTGGGCTCGTTTAGTAGGGATTTTGAGAATTGATTTTTTGACCATTAGAAGAAAAGTGGGGTCCACATGTAGGAGAAGAAGTCAAAAATTACGACTTGAATAGTAAAATAACGGTCAAAAAATTAATTTTTTAGGGCAAAAAATTCCTACCAAACGGGGCCATTATAACGTGGCTCAAACAGGCTCCCAGTTACCCAACCCAATAGTAATTGGTTCTGGTTAATCTTGTAATAGGCCCAGCCCATTTGAATATCTTATTATTGATCTTTCCTTTGGAGTCTTCTTCTTTTGCAGTTTCTTCCTTCTCCAACAAACAAATCGCAGTAAAGGGCGAAACACACACACACAGGCGCAATGGCCGATGAAGACTACGAGATGGACGGAGGGTCTCTACAATTGAATTTTTTTCTTAATTTTATTTTTATAATTGTTCTCAAAACCATTTTTATTTGGATTAGGGTTTATCTAGGGTTTTTTCATTTTCACTAACTAGAATTTTTTAATATATGTAGATACGAGGATGAGCCACTAGATCCAGAACCCGATGTAAGAAGCTTTATTTCTTTTTCATTTTTTTTGCCCACCTGATTATGTTGTCGTATCATGTCGGTGATTATTTTTACATTGTTGTGGCAATGGACAGGAAGGTGTAGAGGTGGAAGAAGAGAACAATAACAATGAGGATGCTCCGGATGACATTTTAGGCGAAGGCGAAGAGAAACAGGAGGAAGTACCTGTTGAACGCCCTCGGAAAACGTCCAAGTATATGACCAAATATGAGCGTGCGAGGATTTTGGGTACGAGGGCATTACAGATTAGGTGGGTTTTAGAGTTGGGACTTTTGTTAATTTTTGTATTTGATTGAGTAGTTTTTGACTTGGAGGAATGTCTTTCGTTTTGCAGCATGAATGCTCCGGTGATGGTTGAGTTGGAGGGTGAAACGGATCCACTTGAGGTAATTTTGTGAATGATGATAATAAATTTATGCTAAATTGAAGTGCTTTTATCCGGAAATTACACAGTACGTTATAAATTGTAACTGAAAGGCTAATTGTTTTTGTGATAACACCCATATCAGTTTCGACTATGCAAAACTATCCAAGGTTCAAGGGATTGTTCAGTTTTTCCAGTGAAATTTGATTTTTCAGAGTAATCACTTAAAAGAATATGCTTTGAAAACAATATTCTTCTTCAAATGCAATTTTTGCATATGTTGCTTACCCCAACTTTTGAGTAGTGAATCTCTTATTACTTAAGTTGAATTGGTCTTTGAAGTGCTATTGCTGTATGATAAAAAATGGAGCTTGTGACAGTTTGCGCTTCAGAAAGTGAAGGGACAGGGTAATAGAAGTTGATACTTTTTGTATATGATAACATTATTACATTCTCTACAAATAAGGCATGTTCATTTTTCCTGTTTTCTGAGAGATTTACTCTAGGTAGATAAGCTTCTTTGTGCTAATGGAATGGGAAAATATTTTTATGACTCTCTTCCACCAAGAATCTTGACATTTAGAGTGTGTTTGATAGGCTTCATTTTCCATGAAAAATGTCATTTTTTTATCCAATTTCTTACTTTTTGGGTGTTTGATTAACAATTTTTTCTGTGGTAAACGTTTTTCAACTTTTGGTCGTGTGACCATATTTTCTTTAGGAGGGGTGATTTTTATCTTTTAGGCAATTTACTCTCTTTCTCTCTAATATACTCATCAATAAAAAAATGGGCAATTATAACATTTTTAGGTTGAAAACTAAGCCCCCATTAATTTAAACATTTTTCTCTCTTCCTTTACAACCACATTTCTTCAATAAAATAATATTACACATAATTCAAAAACTTTTCTTTCATTTTCAACCACACATTTAAAAAAAAAAAGCACTATTCCAAAAATTAGAAATCCTAATAATGGGGGCCAAACGGGGGCTAAATCAATCAATCGAACAAATTTAATTAATAATTTTTATGCAAATAAGTTCTAGAGAATTTATTTTATTTCATGTAAATTTTATGCTCGCTATTAAACGCACCCTTAGGTTTTATTTGCTCTCTTAGACAGATGTCATTTTTTACTTTCACTCGTCTTGTTACTTGTTGTGAAATACAACATTGTGATAGAAACACTAGCAAGTAGGAACTAATACGTGATTGGAAAATGCGCATTCATGCATGAATACGATGTTGGATCAAATCTCTCAAATTCATAATTTTTAATCAAAAAAAGCCAACCAAAGTCTACATTTGCTGAGTGTCTTAATAAGGATCAATATATATTTGTTATTTTTTTGAAATTGCATATAAACCCGTAGCTCTTTAAAGAAATTACAAAAAGGTAAGTAAAAAATAGTTCATAATAATTAAAATATAAAAAAATGATTAAAAGTGAAAGTTGAAAAGAGATGAGGGGTCGTTTAGCATAGAAACAAAGCATTCAGTAATGTACATATATTATGCTCTAACACAGGGATTAAGTCTAGCCTCGATGACAATTGGAGGAATGTCCTTGTACATCAAGTGCTTCATTATTAAATCACATTTGTTGTTTTATGAATAAATCTAGAGGATAATAAATTTTTTTTGCTAATATGAATACATTCTTTCTGTGTATAATCAAGTTCAATCATAGGCTTTTCGTTTATGGAAAAGTCTATGATCCTAGCCACATCTTCAAGAGTGAGGGTTATTTTTTTATCTCCAATGATAAAATTCAAATATTCAATGAAATAAAAATCAATTAATGCCATCAGAAAGTTTATTGTAGGCCTATACCCCATGTTCATTCTTGAAATCAAATTGAAACCTGTACTGTGTAATCTATTCAAGACATTGTCGATTGGTTGCGACTTTTTAAGTTCTCTTAAATGAGTTCTGTTGCGATTCCACAAGATGAAGATGTTATATATCATTTATAAGCAATTGAATAATACAAAATATTCAATTAATAAAGAGAGTAAAAAATTTCTACCGCCATACAAAATGTTTAATTAATAAAAAGAGAAATTTCTACTGCCATTATAGACAAGAAATCGTGGAGACGACATCAAAAGTTTTCTATTGCATAGGCTTCGATTTGGTTTCAAGAATGAATATAACGTATATGCCACAATGAACTTTCTGATGGCATTAATTGATTGTTATTCCATTGAATATTCGTGTTTTATCATTGGAGGAGAAAAAATAATCTCCACTTTTGAAAATATGGCTAAAATCACGGACTTTCCCATAGATGGAAAGCTCATGACTGGATTTGATTATAAATTGGAAAAATATATTAGTATTTGTAGCGAACTTTTGTTATCTTCTAGACTGTTTTAAGATGAACAAATGTGACTTAGTAATTAAGGGCTTGATATATTTAAGGACATTCCTCTTGTTATCGTCAAGGTCGAACTTGATTTCTATATTAGAGTGTATGTTTCATTGGATGCTCTGTTGCTTCTCTAAAAGATCAATTTCGGTGCCTTGTATGTACTTTGTGTTGAAAGATTTTTATCGATGGTTGAATTGTCTTATTATATGAAACATAAGTCAAAAAATACTCATGTCACCCCCAAAAAAAAAAAAAAAAAAAAAAAAAAAAGCAATTGAGTTCGTGCTCAGAGGCGACCATGTGACTTTATTTCATTTGTGTGAATTTTTTGCTACTCGATTTCAATTTTTTTTAATTTTCAATTAATTTTATATTATTTTCTCTCATTAGATCAAATGGTAGCAATATGGCAGATTGCGTGACATTGATGTGTTTTTGAATTTGCAATAAAACCTGTCTCTTTAAAGAAATTACAAAATAATAAAATATGATAAATTGAAAAGAGATGAAGTCATATTCATTGTTCTCCTTGAGCTGACGAGGATTCGCCCTCAAATCTTGATTGTATTTCCATCTTCCAGGTAGGTCAATAAGGCCACCAACTTTAATATGTATTGCATATATCAGTAAAGTGAAGAATTTTCTGTGGCTCAAGGATTCCTCACAATGTCACAAATTTTTTTTGACTTGAAACTTGAAATCTTTACCAGGGTGCTCCTTGGAAACCTTTGTCTTAAACTTTCACATTTGTTTGTGTCCAAAATACTTCTTCCTTGTTTTTATCAGTTGAATTTAATTTGGGTTAATAACACAAAAAGTCCTTACGTTCATTTTTTTGCATTTTCGCCAATATTTCAATGTTTTGTTACGAAAGACGTCATTCCGTCCATTTGCCGTCTATTTCACCGTTAAATGTACACTTGACTCATTTTTAATTTCAACCTTGAAGGGTAAAATGACCAGACACTTCAAGATACTCTTTTTCCCATCATAAATAGGTTATTCCCAAAAAAGAAGAAGAAAAAAAAATATTATTAAACCACAGTGCCGAAGTTTCTGTTCATCATTGGCTGATGCGTTTTCAGAAATCCAAAATGCATCATCACCCATGTTTGATGCATTTCGAAAATCGAATGTTTGTTCATTATCACCAGATGCGTTTTCGAAAATCAAATTTTGATTTTCATCCCAGCTATCATCCGCCATTACCAAAAATCACTAGCTTAGTCCCAAAAATCTGTACCAGAAACTGAAGCGGTAAACATGCTTTTTTCCGAATTTGGACAATGTTTGCGTAAAACGTCCCTACGTTTGTCAGTGTTTGTGTAAGACGTCCTAATGTTTCATTTTGTTTTGCGGAAAACGTCCTTACGTTTGTTAACGTTTTCCGCAAAACGTCCCTATGTTTCATATTTCTGCCAAAACTGTCCCTATAAATCCTGTTTGAAATCCCTTTCATTCACAGGAACTCACGGCAAACTCCACAAGCAACTCCACACACTAATCAACCACACCAACTCCACTTACTGAACAAACTTCAAATTAAATAAGCAACAGAATATACTGAAAAAAAAAAAAAAAAAGGGCTTCATAGCACAATAAAAGGCTTAATACCAGAGTTAATATTGACAACCAAATTTGCATCTAATGTAGGCAAAATAGAGATCTTTATTGACATAGCATTCAGATGTTCAAACAAAAGAAATTTACAGTTCAACAATTGCTTTAAGATATTTTCAAACTGCATTCTACAGAAACCAAAAATAAAAACAAAAAATAAAAAATACAAAAATCTGATTGTCCCTAATTCCTTGGTGGTGCCCTTTTGCATCTCCTATTGTACCCTGATTCTCCACATTTCCGACATTTCTGAGTTTCACCTGCTCTCTTCCTTGTTCCAGATATGCCTGTTGAAGTTGTCTCCGAAGGGGTTTCATTTTGTGAAGACATTCTGAACTTCTTGCCTGATTAGAAGACTCCACCTCATTCGGTTGTTTTTTTTCTATTCTTTTTTGGCCTCCAAGCCTTCTTTGTGTATGAAGGTGGTCTGAGTGGCTGGAGACCTGGACTAGGCCCAGAGTCTAGTCCAGTGATGAGGAAATTGAAGGCGTATATACTTTTTGTAGATGGCATGTACATAATCAATAACATTAAGGCCTTTTGATACCATCTGATTAATACCTAAAAACCCCCAAAAATTTCCCTCATAGCATTTGGTTCTCTTCCCATTTCCCATTTCAATAAAGTTTCAAACTTGAACTACACATAGAAATCAAGATTAATGGAGGGAAAACAATTATCAACCACCTCCAATGTTCATACCATATGTGGGTATCGCGGCACCGAGCCCTCTAATAAATGGAGGAGACATTTTGCTTCAATAGAAAACCCTTAAAAAAATAGCATCCAAGCCATGCTCATTCAATGTTTGAAATTTCGAATAGTAACATAAAAAATAAAGGCTTCACTGCGAAACAATACCTTTTCTTAGTTTGCCTCCATTGCGTGCATCGAACAACCCACCCTTCGTTTTGAAATCGTCACTGACATGAGAAAGGGATGAAGTGGGATGGGCAGGCACGGGACCTGAAGAGTTCTGAGTATGAAGATTAACCGTGTATATTTTATGGTGGGAAGAAGAGTTTCTTGGAGTGTTTGACCATTTTACCCTTCAAACTTGAAATTAAAAGTGAGTCAGGTGTGCATTTAACGGTGAAATAGACTGCAGATGGATGGAAGGACGTTTTTCGGAACGAAACGTTGAAACAAGGGTGCATGCAAAAAATGGAACGTAGGGACGTTTTCTGTAGTAAGTGCTAAACGTAGGGATGTTTTGTGATATTAATCCAATTTAATTATTATTTCTATCAGGTTCCTCACTGATCCACCACTTCAATTCATCGGAACCATTTATCTGTTATTTGGTTAATACCCTTTCACACAAAGGCACATTGCTATTTTAATTTTTATTTATTGGAATTGCTTATATAACCTAAAATCTTTAGAAATTATAAAAGGTACTACAGAACAATTAACAGTAAAAGATGGTAGAGAGTGAGATTAAAAATAAATCAAGCCATCTTCTTCACATTGCCTATGACTTAAAACATGCTTTGATTAAGTGGGGTTGTAAGACATTTTCTTCCTATCATTGTACACTTGAAACTTTTTCTTCCTATACTCATGGCGGAAATCTATCCTTTGAATTTCAAAGTGATTTATTGTGCTTTATTGACACATTTTTCGTTTCTTGAAGCAAAGAACTTAGTTGATGTGGTTTCCTATTTTCACATCTTTTGGTTGTTCTTTATCCTTCTTTTAGATTGCAATGAAAGAGCTGCGAGAGCGAAAGATACCATTCACCATTCGTCGTTACCTCCCTGATGGAAGGTATCAGTCTACTAACTTGAATACTTGCTGACTTCTTTTCTCAGAGTCTATTGTTGTACCCTTTTTTCAGTATCTGCTTTCTGTACATCCTCCTGATTATCTTTTGGTGTAATCCAGTTACGAAGATTGGGGAGTTGATGAATTGATAGTGGAAGATTCCTGGAAAAGACAAGTTGGAGGTGACTGAGATGCTCGTGCCTGATGGGCTAGCTCAAGTGTTAGAGGAGGCTTTTGTTTATAACTCGTGTGTTGCACATTGATGGTTTATACTGTATCACCTTTTAAGCATCATGTACCAGACATATCTTCATACATTGCTGGTTATTTAAAGTGTTTAAACACTATTCTATCCTGAATAATGCTGCTTGGACAGGGAAAAAAGGGGGTACAGTGACAGGATGATTTGGCAGCATCTGATTGAGTGTTTTTTTTTTTTTTTTTTAAATCTAATAAAAAATTGCCAAGCGTTGTTTGGATAAAAATTCTGTCATTTACCCTGGTTGTGTAGCACAACTGTTCTCGTGTGTCATACAGGCTGGATCAGCATGGCTTTGGAAACACGTGTTTTTAATTTTTATATTTTAAGAGAAAGAACACTTTAATGAAAAGGGAAAAATGAATATTTATTGCTACGGGATAATATTGTTGATCCTCGAGGGTTAAATATTTAAGACAACGAAACTAAAATTTATGTAATAAATCAAATTCGAATTTTTTGTTATCCATTATTTAAAAACCCCTTTTGGCTGCCATTTTTGGGAAATGAAAATAGGTGGAATGGTATTTTTTTGAAAAATGAGTAGTTGAAAAATAAGGAAAGTTTTCGATTTACGTGTAATATTAATTTATGGGAGATTGTGTGGTTGAAAATAGAAAAGATAAAAATGAAATGTAATTTAATAAGTATCAAATGGGAGCTTACGAGGTAGGACTACATAATAGTCAATGAGTCGTAGAATGGTTGAAAATTAAGTATTTGTTGGAATCTTTAATGAGTGCAACGGAATGCAGTGATGTTTGGATAACTAATTTCTTCTGTGCAACAACAATGCAGTGATAATGGTGTGTGTGTATGTATTTTGAAATATTAAAACCTTTAACTAGAATGTTACTAAATGGTTCAAATGAAACACTCGAAATAAAAATCTATAAAAATATTCTAGTCAATTTGATTTTTCCTATTTTTGCAATACTTTAATCTGGTAAAATCAGCTGAAGGACGAGGAATTTTATTCTTTTTTCCAGAAGATATAGTTCAATTGAAATTTGTCATCGAGGGAAGTGGACATTCAGATCTCATTTGATTATTATTATTATTATTATTATTATTATTATTATTATTATTATTACTACTCCTCCTTTTGGAAATCTCTAAATTATTAGAAAAAAAGTTCGCCACTCAAATTTTGAACATCAACACGACATGTCTCGTACCATTCCAACTTTTAAATGAATTGACTCAAATTTTAAAGGATTTTGCCAGGTGCATACTCTTAAATTGACGAATAATAGTTTGCCATTATGTAAACCAAGCATAGTTGAATTCTAAATTAACAATGCAGAGGAAGAAAGTTGCTGATTATTTTCCACTCAACAGATGAGCCTCAAAAGGAAAAAGAACATGACCTAGACAATATATGGTCCATCTCTTCAAGAATTAAATAACAAATAACATCAACAATGAAAAAGACAGACTGATTTCAGTGTTTTCTTGATAACGATGCTGAATTTATTGTTCTAATGGTTACTGAACTTAGGTCTATGTTCTTGATTGGTCACTGAAATTTAAAATGTCGAGTTTTGGTCACTAAATTTAGATCCATATCTTCATTTGTTTACTGAAATTTAAAATGTTGAATTTTGACTATTGAACTTTGAAAAATGTTGTACGTTACTCGTTAGTATAAATTTTAAATTTTGAAAAATATCGAATTTACAGTAAGTAATGTATAATATTTTTCAAAATTTAGTGGTTAAAACTCGATAATTTAAATTTTAATGAGCAATCAAAGTAATAAACCTAAATTCAGTGATCAAAACTCGACATTTTATACCATCTATAAAAAAACATGGATCCAATTCAGTAACAATTGAAACAATAAACTCAAATATGCTTTTTCTCTCTTGGTAAAGAGGAAGATGCAATTTGAGAATTGAGATGGTCTTTACTCAAATGGTTGCTGGTAGGTATTGTGGATTCTTGCCTTATTATTTCCATTCAATTCACTCATATTTTAGCAGATAAAAGTCAGGTAGGACCCTTTTTGCCTTGCTTTCCCATCGGCTTCCAATTATAAAAATGTCATCTTTATTGTCAGTTTTGACTTGGTTTCTCTACTTGTGTCTTTTCCTTCTCATTGAGAGTGAAAACTTCAATTACAGAGGGAAAACAAAGAAAATCTAGGGTAAAATCAAGAACCCATAAATCTCCACATAAAGGTCACTCCTTTTCCCTTTCATTCTGTAATTTAGAGTATTAATGTCAAGATTATTTTTTCTGGGTTTTTGTTCAAATTTGGTAAGTTTGTTCTCAGCACTCATACTCTAGAATATCTTTCGCGGATTTATGGGTGCAGAATATTTGGTTTAATGAACTTCATAAGATTGCTTCTACAATTCTATGCTGCTTTGTGAATAAGTGATTTTAACCATATTTTCTTAGTTTTAACTTTTAAATGTGTTCGGATTATGAAGTTTGAGAGTCAAAATTCAGGAAGATTTTATGAATCTTTTTAGGTGTGAGAAAGTTCTTGGTATTTATGTCTGTGATAGAGATTTTTATTTTTATTTTTTTAATTTCCCCCCTTGATTTGTTGAATTTATCTTCTACAAATCTTTAACCAACAGAATTGTGAGTCAACGTCAATGAATTTGAAAGCCAATACAGATTACTTTAATTTTAATGTTGAACTAAGATTTTTGTGGGTCAAAGTAAATAACTTTAAATATTTATTTGCACCTACTGGGTGATGCAATACAATTTTTTTCCTTGCGAAATCGTTGTTGGTCCCAGTCGTAATTGACAAAAATAAAACAATTAAGTATTGTCCTCCATAATTCTGTTTATTTTATGAGCAGAAGAAAAATGTAATCTTTGATATTTAATGCTCAATTGAGAATAATTTCCATAATCGTCCCATTATATTCTTGTTCATGATTTATTATTATAAATTTCCAAGTCTTGAGGAGTAATAGAGGTTTCTGTTTGGTGTTGCCATCAGTCCTTTAGAAGGGTTTACAGAATTTGTCCACCACCTGTAATGAATCCAACCTATAACCTGTTATCTTAGCACCTTGCTCAACAAGAATGCTTAGAGAAAAACAGTGGTGAAAAGAAATAAACTTTTTCAATAATTTCGAAATCAAGATTCTATAATGATGAATACATGGGTGAATACAATTCCTCTGGTACTAATGGCTAAGGGCGAATTTAATATGAAAAATCTTGGCAACGATTTATTGGAAATGGGATGTGCTTATACCTTTCTTAAACTGTTTGATTTAACTTTAATTTCTGTGAGCACTTTATCTGCTCTGAAATTCTCCATCATTTAATGAATATAAGCAGGAAGGGAGAGATATTCTGTCTGAAACATCCATGATGAGTAACAATGAGGCACATAACCATTATCTGAATGGTATAAGCCCATCTGAAATTTCTGTACACTTCAAAGAGATTTATCCTGAGTTCGGTGATCTCAATGTTCAAGAAGTCCTTCTACAACAGGTACTTCAGATTTATTCCAGCTACCTTGGAAACCTGAGGATACGTTTTCCGGGACGGTCCTGATTTCTGTTTCTATATTATGAAGTTATTTGTCTGACTGATTCTATGTTCTATCTCAGGAAAGTGCATATCTATCCATTCAAGCCAGTGGAAAGGCAAAGGTTACAACATCTGATTATGGCCAAACTAACAATGGGAGTCAGTTTTTAGCACAAGAGAGTGAATCACAATTAGCTCTTGATGAAGCCTTTGCTAGATCTTTGGAATTGGGGGACAACTTTGCCAACTTATATAACTCTGAGCACGGTGGCAATATAGCTGGTAATAAATTCCTGGCTTTATGTACTTTCAGTAATATAGCATGTATTTTCCAAAGTAGGTTAACAATGCTGGTGCTCACGTAACTTCTGGCCAAATTTCATGTTGACCATCAGGCTTCATCTTGTTTCGTGTTGGTCACTCGGTCACAAAACTTAAATCATTTGTTAAGATTTGGCAACTTCATCGATGTCTCTTTGTTTGACTAACTGTGAGCTGATGTGGCAATCTAGTTGGTAGACTCAGTTGCAAATTACTAGAATGCTACATTGCCTTTTCTATTGGTCAAATTAGCAGATATGGATGGGGTGACTAACTTGAACAGAATGAAGTTTTGTGACCAAACTTCTAACACAGTCATCTCACACTGGTGGAGAGGTGAGCAATATTCATTGCATAAGCCTTTTGTATGCAGGCATAGGTTTTTAGATATTCTTTGCTTGATAAGTTATCGAATGAAATCTAATAGTTTGCTTGCTAAAAGAACTATAGCTCCTTTTGGTGTCAGTTTGGAATCTGAAATTTTTTTATTGCCATATTGACTTTCTTTTTGATATATTAACGCAAATATTGAGATTGACCTCTATATGAATTGCAGAGAGCACAAATTCAAGTCCCAGAGAGACACCTGCCAGGGTACTTGTGCAAATTCCTGCACCTTTCTGGGTGTGTATTTTGCAGCTTGAGGTTAGAGTTCATGTTATGATTCTTGGTTTGTGTTATTAAATGCAGATAGTGATTCAAAACACAAGGGAAGACGAAATTGATCCAGATACAATGAATTATGAGGTTGGTTATGTGAAAGCATGCGTATTGTGTATTTTGTTCAACCCTGAAATTCTTTGCTCCAAACTAAGGAATTATTTGCAGACCACAAGTCTTTTTATGATGTTTACAGGAATTACTTTCGCTAGGGGATGCTGTTGGCCAGGAGAGAAAAGGACTTTCAGATGATCTCATCTCTCGTTTACCGACTTTTAAATACAAAGCAGGGTTCTTCTCAAAGAAAAAGAAAAAAGAAGAGTAGGAACTCTCTGACCTCAACTCTGTATCAGTTTTGTACATATCGTATCTTAAGTGAAAATGTTTCTCACCCCAGATAACAAGCTGATTAATATTATGTGAGAGCTTTTTTTGCTAAGTTTAAAGAAAATTAGAAGTAAACTATATAGACTTAATTTATGGAAGTATGTTTGTGAATTAGAAATCTTAAAAAAGGACTGGAAAAACTCAAAACATGTTTGGCGAATAAAGTTACCTATAAGTAACTTTTAAGCTTAATTAAAAATGCTTTATTGTAACTGTCGTCGGCTAGGTGTTCCAAGAAGTTGGAGATGTAGGTGTAGAGTATTTGATGGGAGATGAGTGTTTCTTAATGGCCATTCTATAATTCAATGCATTCATAGGCATGATAAAGTACATAAGAGTATAATGCTTAATACATTAAGGGCCTGTTTGATTTGAGGAATTTTCCATGAATCCATTCTTCCAATTAAATGGACCCTAAATTATATATAGCCGGTACATTGATTAGAAGAAAATAAAATTTTTGATTGGATTTACGTGCTCTATGTCTACATTTTAGGTGTGTGATATGTTGTGCCGAGTACAAGAATAGAGCTAAGCTGATAACTTTGCCTTGTGCACACCAGTATCATTCAGCATGCATTACACGTTGGTTGAAACTCAATAAGGTGAGAGTAATTTTTGTTTATCTTTTAATTTTGAGAATTTTTTACCCTTTTGCATCTGCTTGATTTGTCATCCCAAGATGTTAAGAATGGGTATTGCATATGCATGCGAAGGACATACTTTGAACTCTGAAGAAACAAAAAATGGATTTTATATTGGTTAGTAATGAATGTGAACTAAGCGTTATTGCATAAATCAATTTTTAAAAAGAATGTAATGTTTAGTTTTTATAACACATTTCATACCTGAAGTACTTTTTTGTGGAACTGTAACTCTCTCCCTATCTCTCTTTCTAACAGAATTGTCCCGTTTGTCAAGAGGAGGTTCGAGGAGAATAATTTGTGAAAGTTTCCTTGGCAAAGTGCTGCCTATGTATCTCTTGCTTGCATCTACTGGTTTTGGCAGCATCATTGGAGTATTGGATTAACCTGTTTTCAAGTTTACAAATTCTACTCTAAAATAATTTGACTTGCTTAAGTACTTGTTTGTGTATATAGTGCAAGCAATATACATGTGCTTGTAACTCCCTTGTAAAGATTTTTTTCAGTGGATGTAAAATACTTTATTGGCAGTAACTTTGTGCTTGCTTGAGTCAATGGATGATGGTTATAATTATCTTCGCTTACAGTTTGCATATGATTCTCAGTTATTGTGTATCATCTCACGGTAATAGAATGCAGATCAACCAAGACACATATGATCAAGTATTTACCATGGGTGGAAATGCTATATTCCATCCGTTCGCTTAGTTTGGGAAAGTGTGGATTTTCAAAAACGTGTTATTACATACCAAATCATATGCTTCTTTGTGCTCTTTGGATTTCAAAACTTCACATCATAATATTTAGACGGTAGATTTCAAATTACGATATTCAAGAAGGATGCATGTATCATATTTGCCTCAAAATGCTGATGTTCTTGAATTCATGTCCATATTTACACTCGCAAGAAGCTTTGGAGAAGATCAAACCACATATGAAAGATGGTCAAACCACATATGAAAGATGGTAGAGCAAACAAGAACCAAAGTACAACACCAAAGCATTATCACAAGTACAATAATTGAAGGAAAGAAATGAATACAAAGTGCAAGGTAAATGAAACAGCCTGTGCAAAAATTTATGCTATTGCCAGGTTTTCATCGAGATCACTGTTAGAAAAAGTCCGTTTTCGGGAAACTCATGGGCATTATCTCGTTCCGTATCGTCTGGTAAATGAAGGTTTTGTGAAAAATCTGATTCTTTTTTGCTGAATCCATTATTTGCCGCCGGCACTCTGCGTGGAATATATGGGACTGCTGGGGATGTTAAGACAGAATTGCTCTTAGTCTTTACCCAAGAGATGTACCTTTTCACTATCAAAAGGAAAAGAAAATCATGTATTGGTTCAGGTAAATCCATTAGATTTTATAGGAAAAAAAATAGATAAATCGAAATATTTCAAAACGGTTTCTATAATTTATGGCCCATGTACTTATTAAGATGATTGTTTTTTAAGTAATTAAAGGATGATTATGGTTTAATAATAATTAAGTGCTATATCGTGTTGATGAGTTAAAGAGAGATTTAAATAATTGTTCACATTGATTTAATGTGAATTAATGGAGAATTTATGGTCATATAGGGTTTTTTAACCGAACATATGAAAGAAAGCCTAAGAGGTTAAGAGAAAGAAAGCCTACAATTGATTTCGAATATAAAAAGGTTCATCATATGGATCAAGGCATGTTTTCTCCAAAATTTTGAAATTGTGAAGTCAACTTGTTCTAAAATCTAAGGGCTTGTTTGATTGCAATAATTGAATTTGAGTGGAAATAAAACAAATTTCAGGGAATTAAATTATTTAGAACTTGTTTTATTGAGAATTGTCAATTAAATGTGTTAGATTGATATAATTTTTCACCTGAAAAATATTGAAATTTTGGATCTTTTGATATTTGTTTGGCTTTATATTTTATGAAAATTGTCGATTAAAGGGATATAATTTGTTACAATTGAGGGTAGAATTTTTTTTCAATTGCAAAAAAAAAAAAAAAAAAAAAAAAAAAAACCCTACAAAACCAAAAAATTTGTAAACTACCAAACTCATGGTAAAATCAATTCCTCAAAAAGGTGGGAAAAGGGGTCACGTGACCAACTGCCAAGAAAATTTACCCAATCAAAGATGTAAAAAGGTGGAAAATAAAATTCAATTTCCTATTTCCATGAAAAATTTGTGCAATCAAACATGGCCTAAGACTTATTGATTATGCATAATAGGTTTTGGTTTGCAAAAATAAAAAAATCATGTCTTACATGTGGTATCAGAGCCTCTTAAAGAAATTGTGATTTTTTTATTGATTTTTCTTAATTTTACTATCTATTTAAAACGTCAAAGTTTATTGGTCAGAAAATTGATTTTAGTGATTATGTATTTTCGCTTAAATTATATATAAAAATATCAGCCGATTTTTTGCAATGTTATTTGCAGGCATAGGTGTGTAACACGTTGAGTGCACTTACTAATTGCGGCTTCAGTTGACCATAAAAGAGAGGGTGAAAATCAGGCAGTTTAAAACTTTAAATCAGGCCTCATTTGCCTTGCCTCAGGACCGGCCATGTATATATGTTTGTTGTTATACATTGTTGGATCACCGAAAGGAGAACTTTAATGTATATAATCAATACTATCTGAATCAATGTTGCTTATCTGAGTTATGACTTGAAGCATTAATATGTGAGCAATCTATGTATTTTGCAACATCTGTTAATGTTGCACTTCATTCGCAAGCTTTGTTTGTTTTTGTGTTCAATCAGCTTAATTACTAGAATGGTTTGGACAAGTTCAGTTTCACTTAAGCGTTTTGAATCTTGATCTCGTTATACAAGTTGAGAAACCTGCTGTTCTTATTGATGAAAGGAGCATTGAAGAAAGAGCTTTTCATAAGGCTTGGAAAAGATTGAACATACTAAGCCTGATGTTCATGCTTATGATAGTAGTGAACAACATCAAGTCTACTCTATAAGAACTGAAATTGCTGAGGACTATATAAGTCAGTAGAAGATTGTTCTAAATCTCCTGATAAGTAAATTGCGGGTACATTAATGGGAACATTGACCACCATAAAATTTGATGATACTCGTACCATGCATAAGCACGCCATTGACATGACAAGCTTAGCAACAAAACTGAAGAATATGGGGATGAGTGGATGATAGCTTCTTAGTGCAATTTATCACAAACTCATTGCCTTTTGAATACGATCCATTTCAAATGAACTATAACACTTTGAAAGATAAGTGGAATGTGAAAGAACCAAGGAGCTCATAAAGGAACCCACTCTTCTCATCTCATAAATGATAAAGAAATTGGAAAGAAAGGTAAAAGATCAATGGAAGGGAAGGGAAGGGAACGGAACGGACTACTAAGGATCAATGAGTCTTTTTCCCAAATCCAGAAAAATGACACAAGGAATGAGAAGTATCACTTCTGCAAGAAATTTGGACACTTTTAGAAATACTCCTATAAACGCAATGCATGGTTCGAAAAGAAGGGTACACCTATTGTTTTTGTATGTTTCGAAACTAATTTAGCTAAAATTCCTTATAATAGTTGGTGGATTGATTCTGGGTGTGCCATTTATATACCTAATATGATGTAGGGATTCCTTACAACCTAAACCATACAAACAAAATGAGAAATTCGTGTTCATGGGAAATAGAGTCAAGCTCCAATTGTAGCAATTGAAACTTATTGTTTAGTTTTAGATGCTGGACATCATTTGGTTTTATATCAAACACTTTACGTTCCTTCTGTTTCTTGTAATTTAGTTAATTTATCTTGACTTGAAACATTGAGACACTCCTTTAAATTTGGGAATGAATATTTTAGTTTATTTAAGCAAAATCTTTTTATTGGTTTTGTTAATTCTTTTTGATTGTTTATATAACTTGAAACATGACAATCAATTTGCTGAAACTCTTCTAACTTTGTATTATAATGTTGGTATGAAATGAAGTTCAATAAATGAACGATTAGCTTACTTGTGGCACAAACATTTGGATTACATAGGTAAAAAAACGTTACAAAGATTGGTAAAGTCTATGGAATATAATTATGTTTGGAGTCTAGCTGGTTTGCCTTCTGTTTTCAAAAGAGTCGGATGTAAATGGGTCTTGTTGGCATTGGTTCAAAAGTCAACCGAATTAACCGAAAATATTTGGTTAAGTATGAAAAGGTGTGACTACATGTCAATTTTGACCAAATATTCGGATTTGGTCCTATGGTTAAATTACAAAAGTAAATAGACTAACTTATTTTAGTCATTGAGTAGATCGTCGTGGTATATTTGAAATTTTGAAATCAATTTTCGGATGAATGAAAAATTACGGTCAAAAGTTGGAAGAAATGAAGTGTTACAATTTTTCGAAAAGATGCAAGTTTTGACCACGTGTTGTAACTTTTTGAAAGGAGGTTTTGGTCTTAGTGCAACTTTTTGAAAGGATGCATATTTTGACCTACACTACTTCATTTGTACTATTTCTACATCTATAAATAGGACACTTTGGACGTGGTTTTGAGTACACCATTGCATTGAACATCCATTATTCTCTTGCAATTCATCTTTCTCTTATTCTCATAACATTCCTTTGTAGAGGAAAAATTTCGTTGAAGTTTCGCTGTTCTTGTGATTTGAAGTACTGCTACTACAAGTGTGTATTCGTTGTATCTTGGGAGACATTTGTCATTCAACCGTGAGCACCGTAGCGGGGCAATTTGTCTTAAGGAAAGAGTTATACTATCCTAGAATTTCCTTTTCTACTCCTTCTTATTTCATCTTGGTTTTTGTGGTTTTGTATTACACTTCCACTTCATAAAATTTTGGTTTAACTACACTCCTGCGGATTGAACTTTGTACTCACAAACAATCATCTTGATCGCTCACAAATAAGACGGATCCAGCAGGTCTGAAGATCAAATGCAATTGAAATGACAACATTGAAAGATACAAGGCGGACGTATCACTAAAAGCTTTATTGAGAAAGATGGCATTGATTACAAATAGAACTTTCTTCGGTTTCTAAAAATACCTCTTTAAGAATCATTATGGCCTTGATGGCTCATGAATGCTCATTATGATTTAGAGTTACATGAAATGGATGTGAAAAGTACCTTTCTGTATGGGAATTTAGAGGAGAAAGTTTAATGGATCAACCCAAGGATCTTCAATTGAGGAAAAGGAAAACATGGTACGTAAACTTAAGAAATCAAATTATGGACTTAAACAAGCTTTTCGTTAATGGTACTTTAAGTTTAATTATACCATTACTTCTTTTGATTTTAAAGAAAACATCATTGACTAGTTTATATACATGAAGACCAGTGAGAGTATGTTTATAATTTTGGTCTTGAATGTTGATTATATTTTGCTTGCTACAAATGATCTCGACATGCTGCATGGAGCCAAGAAATTTCTCTCTAAGGACTTTAAAATGAAAGATATATGGAAGAGGCAACTTATTTGATAGGAATAAAAGTATTTCAAGATAGATCACAAGAAATGTTGGGGTTGTCTTAAAAATCATAAATTAAAAAAGTTATATAGAGATTTAAGATTGAGAATTGTTCTCCAAGTGCCTTTCCAAT